AGGAATTTTCCCCCAACATTTTGGCTAATAACCCTCAATTCACTCCCTCAATTAATGGAAAAATTTCAGAATCACATGATGATGACCACTCATTGACCTCCAATAAGCCCAGCCCAATTGACCACTATTATCACACACGATCAGGCAGGGAAGTGAAATTGAACAAACGATATTATAATGAGAACATGGTGAACAATTGAAAAAAAAAAAAAAAAATACTGAGTGTTTACCAATAAGAAAACATCACAAACAAAAAATAAACTATAAAGAAAAAAAATATATAAATGTGGAATATATATGGAATAAACACATACTTTGTTTGATAAACATATATTTGTTTATATAAACTGATTACTTAATTGATATTTAAACATGTGTTATTCTAACGTTATTTAAATTGAACCATATTCCTTTATGATTTATTAACATGTGGATACCATGCAGCTATGTATTTAAAAAGAGGGAAATGTAATGATATTGAGTTATTTTATATTCATATGACCTTTAACCTTAATACTCATTTCTGTAAATTTCCACTGACCACGTTGTGCCTGTAGAATGTTATATCTTGGGAGATTTCCCGCCAATGCATCAGTCCAGATAATAAAACTGACTAGAACACACTTGTGTCTTTTCTCTTATTATATTCACATTTGTGAATCGCATGGACCAACTTTAATAGTATATAAGATATACAAAGAATATTACATCCACTTTGCTGACCCAGAAATCTTAGAATTCAAATTTTACAACAGTTACTGTAAAACTGGACAGGTCTATCATTATGTAAAGCAGGGTTAATCTACTCATCATTTTAACTTTCATTCTTTATTTGAGCGTAAAAGAAAATATCAAATAGCTAATAGATATATAGATTTTAAAAATCATTACAAATTCTTGTACAAAAAGATTGCAATGTCCTTCTAGACACATTGTGCATATGAAATTTATAATGTTATCTCTCCCCAAAATAATCACATGGAACAGTCTGATCTGTCGGAATGACCAGGGAGTAAATTAGTCATGCCCAGATGGTGGGAAAATGCTGGTCAATGAATTTTATCAAGGCTCTGATCTGTGTAGCGTAAAATCTCAGTGGATGTTACGAGTATTTATTTTCCTAAATAAAAGCAATATATATATTGATTAATTTAATATAGAATATATATGAGATTATTTCATGCACTGTTTTTGTTTTGTTAATTTATTTATTTATTGTTATCCATGGACAGAGATACCCTTTTCCAACTACATGAAATGTATAAAGAGTCAAATTTCAATCATTTACAATAACTTACATTAAAATAAATGATGATTTTATATTTTCTTCGTAAATTTACAATATTGAGCTGAATATATAAAATCAGATTTCTTGTTATTTTTACAAGTTTTTTCCAGCATACTTAGAGAAAGTTTAACACATTTCCAACATCAAAAAAATCTAAGTTCCACTTTCCATGCTATATGGAAGTAAAGTCCATGGTTTTCCAGTCTTTTACCACAATTGTCCAGCCAATTTCCAGCCTATTCCAGCAATGCTGGAAATGGCTGGACAAAAAAAGTCCATCTAGCATGGAAAAAATACCGCATTCTCCATGAATGTCCATGGAATTCCATGCTTTTCCATAGTTTTCCAGCCTCTCTTCCAGGCTTACCCTGGAAAATCTACACCTGGTGAGGCGAGAAAAATAGTTTCTTAAAACTCTGTATATTACCGACTTACAGTTAGCCCTCGCCCATTCAAATCGAGTACATTATATGAATAGGCGGAGTCCATTAAATCGGCTCATTTAACATATTAATTTAATACATGAAGTTGAGTTACAGCATTGTATGGTAAATATTTTGGCAAAATTTTAACAAAATAGGGTGATTTCATTGGCAGGCAAACTTTAGCGTGGTAATCTAGTTTAAACTAGTTAATTATCACTGAAACTATCATTTTTGGAATTTTTTTTTTAATGTGTACACTTTTGACAAAAATTTTCTAAGTGTTTCCATTACTTTAACAAAAAAATTCTAAGTGTAGATTTGTACAAAATTTTTCTAAGTGTCTACTAATTGCAAGCTTGCGGCATTGCAAGCTTACATCAAATGTTCGCAAGCTTGCATGAATTTTAAACAAGCTTGCAATATATTTCAACAGTCATCGCAAGCTTGCGCAAGCTTGTTGCAAGCATGCAGCAACCTTGTATTTAAGCGGTAAGCTTGTGACAAGCTTGCGGCAAGCTTGTCGCAGGCATGCATTTTGGTTTGGGTTACTTTTAATGTTTATATGTATTTGTGCACTATATTTCAAGAGATCACGCTTAACATTTACAACCTCCATGTAATTGTCCTATTTAAAATCACCTAGGGTATGTTAAACACTTCGATCTTCACAGAATCAGGTAGTTGGGCTCTATAGAAAGAAAATGTTGTTATAAAATGCTATGTTTATTGTTGTTTATTGTTGTTTTTTATTTATTTTAGTTTAAGTGAAGTGATATATGTCTTTTTGCTTCATCCTAAAAAAATAAAACAAGGTCATGACCTAAATCGCTGAAAAGTATCATTACTTGATAACAATTTATATATATTTATATTTTGTTAATAATAAGCAAGTCATTAGGTACAATTTTGCAATATCATGGTAATGTTTAATTAAATCAAATCACAGAAGGCGCTGAATATGTTTGGGTCTCAGAATGTCAGAAAGGTGAAGGCTGTGAGATTGTAAACCATTTGTTTTTGTATAGTGCCACCAATGTTGTTTCAAGTGTCATAACTAGTAAATTGGCTATAAGGCTTATTGCATCACTGACATGTAATATATTGTTTATTTGGCTTAAACAATTAAAAACAAAGACAAAAAAACATGAGTTGCCTTAACTTGGATTTGAACTCAGGACATCTCTCTTCCTAAACGAGCGTGTAACCCCTCGACCACGGGGAAGTTATAAGAAAACAGCCTGAAGAAAACCATATCATTCTAAATTAGGGTTTGTAACCCTTATTAATTTTGTTTGACACTGATGTAAATAATCATGGAGCTTAATATTACATGTATATCTGTAAAGAATTACACAATATTTGAAATCTTTGACCAATCGGGAACTACTTTTTCTTCTCCCGAGAAGGCTTGAAAATTAATGCGCCCGTCATTTGACAATCTTAACACAGTGATCCCCCCTTATTTTTTCAGCGTAAGAGTACATATAAAGGTAAGTAACCGCTTCCAGGGGTTCGGACTACTTTCTTATTTTGCAAATAAGCATATCAGAGCCTGAAATTTCGCTACCATTATTTGTTTGGTCTGACGACCCAAACAAATAAAAATGTAGTCGCCATTGCTTAAATTTTTAATGTTTAAAGGCATGAAGCTTTAAAAATAACTTTTAATTCATGTAATTAGGTCAGTTTTGGTTTGGTTTCACGGCTCATAAAACTGACATTATCATGTGGCGACTTTCGAGTTTTACAAGTGCCCCTTTGGGTATAAATAAAGGAACGAACGGGCACCTGAGTAAAACGACCGACATTCTGTACTGTAGTAAGAAAACTTTCTCACATAAAAAATCGAAACATCGAAGTCACTTGTGGTCTCGTACCTACTTCATGTAGTATATAAAACAGAATGCAGCCTCCAAAATCCATAGCATTTGATTGACAAAATGGGTATTATTAAAATATCATTTTATTTTTAACACAAACACGCAAGCACACATATCCATGAACTCGAGTGTTAAATGCATCTTAAAATGAAAGTCCAAGATAGGCATAATTTTACCAAATTTCCTAACATGTATATCCTTACATGTATATGTAGTTCAAGGTTTCTTGTATAAACTACGTTACGTTATATAACAGGCCTTGTTCCCATATGGGTTCTTCAAATTATCAAATTATTAATTCTGATTGCACGTAAAACTGCGAAATATTTGTCCATATGTAGATAATTTGATAATTTAGATACATGCAGTTAGTTTGGGACCCTGGCAGATGAGTCTTATTTCCAACTTACTCCTTTTTTGAATAATCCTGTTTACATCAAACTGTAGGCATAATGATACTTTGCAAAACAGGTCCCAGGGTTCTCGTTTAAATTAATATAATGTATAACTATGAAAAAATCACTCACATTATAATTTAAATTAATTTTTTTTATATATTTTATTTTAGAATTGTTTCAAAGACAGAAATTGTGTGTGTACCGTATCTTTTGAAAAAACAGTGTGTTCCGTATCATTTCAACATAACTTTATGAAAATATGCTAAAACATCACTACATTCACTCGATACATTGGACATAGTAAATATATCAGATTTAACATGTATTTTGCTATGAAATAGTGTCAAAAAACATATGACTTGCTGGAAATCACCTGTTATGCCAAATGAGTGTGTACCGTTCCCCTCGGCCTAGGCTATGAAAAGAAAACTGTACTCAAATGTTCTCAAAAACCATTCGGGGGTTTTCAGAATTTTGATATACCGTGGATAACTGATATAATTCCGGGTACTCTGCGCCTTATCTGATCAAAATCAGTTGAGTAATAAATAAGTTATGAATAAAAAACATACCTGAATCGGGTGAAAAATCGGCGTGTTCCGTACCCGAAAAGTCACGTGGTATGGCCACATTGTATTACAGGCTGCTGTAATATCATAATGCACAAGCTGTAGATACCACTGTTGAACCACTGTCCAAACAGACCTTTAACATTTCACAGTTAATGAAATTAAAAAGTACCATAGTCAGTTGCTTATAAATCAGGATTACCTGATCAGATGTAAAGAGCTTCAATTTAATATCATAACCATGAATTTTTTTTTTTAAATTAAAAACATGTTTTTTTCACAAAAATTGATTACATGGTACATAAACTAATTCTGTAACAATTCAAGATATTATCGAATAAAAATTATTGCATGATATTTTGTTAAACAAATCTACATCTTAGAGTGAGATATATTCCATATTGACAATAGATTAGGAAAAAATATAATTTATATCTCACCTCCATCATGACAACCGTTAAAGAGAGTGGGTGGTAGAAAGTCTCTTGGGCGACCCCCAAATGATGGTGATTTTTTTAACAGCCCTTCTTCAATTCCTTCCAATGAACAAACGATTACAGCTGGCTTCTTGCCAATTTGTATACTGTATATGTCTCCATATTTCTCCTTTAAAGAAACATAATGTAATGATTATCATATATTATCATATATTATCATATATTATCATATATTATCATATATTATCATTATATTATCTTATATTATCTTATAATATCTTGTAATGACAGGTTTTTTTTTCCAGGATTTTGGGAACATGACCAATACCCATGGAATTGGGAATTTCAGCGATGTTTTGTTAAAAATTTGGAAAAAATGCAAAACTTAAATATTGCAGTGATAAAAGGAAAGCAAAGAATCTCTGTCTAGGATGGCATCTTCAAACATTTAAGCACCTTAACAGTAAAGAAGACCTTATTTTCAAAGATTTTAGAATTTGTTATTCAATATTTTTATTTTGTTACTTTCAATTGGGATTTTTTTTTCTGAGGATAGGGAAAATAATATACTATTTCCAATTAGGAATATGACCGAATATCGGCTATAAAATAAGCCAAAAAAAAATCTCATAATGATATTCAATATAAATTACTATAACAATCATTCAATGAGTACCTCCACTGTGTATAACTGATGACACAAAAATGCTATTGTAACATTTCACATTGTGTGTGTACAGAGAATAAGTGAGACTTGAAAACATCTACCTAATGATATATTATGTTTCGAACCAAGTGGTAAATCCAAAATGACAAGTCTTTTCAGTCCAATTTAAAGGACCATTATGCCCTAAAAATGCTTAATTTTCTATTTCTAAAAAGCTTTCTTATTTTAGGGTATTTTTATAGTTTGTAAAACTAACTATTAGCCAATAAACAGTACCATCTTTTTCTTTTGTTGCTTTTTTGGCAATTAGGACAGTTAAAAAGAACTTTAGTATTTTGTATGGAATCCAAAATACTACTTTGTTTACATTTTGATTCATGTTTAATATGAAAAAGAAGTTAATATTTATTTGTTTCTGAGGCATCATGTGCCTTTAAGAAAGTGTATACATGATGTACCATGAATCAAGGCAATTTCCAACACATTGAAACTTTTTTCCCTATCAATAACTAAGTTATAACAGTATAAAAATAGGAGTTTATTTACAAATAATGGCATGATGGTGCTTAAATGCCAACATTCAAAACGACCCAAGACCCATTTGTGATAGATCGGAAAGCAACACCAGAATTGTGTACCACTCTCTCAGGTACCCATTCACACCTAGGTAAAGTAAATTTCTGGTTATTAGCAGAAAGACTGTTTCCTTGGTTACGTATGAGCTCCTTTTTCCTGAAACAGGGTCCTTGCTCTTGCTCTTTGACCACTGAGCATGCTTGCATCATATTCCTATCACTGGATTACAAATGTAGAATGATTTATAAATTGTCACAGTTTAGACTGTTCATTATTTTGGGGAGAAAATGTGTAAGTGACCAGATAGCTCATTTGGTAGTCCCACAGAATGGCCTTTTGATGGTCTCGGGTTCAGGGCACAGTCAGGCTGCACATTTTTCTCACCCTGTGACATAAACATGCCTATTTAATATTATTCCATTATATAGAAATGAATGATTAATTATACCTTTAATCTTGTCAACCGTATGTGTGCATTGGTTTGTAGAAACTGGTTACTCCCAATAAATGGATAGCAAATAGGGCCATCAGGAAAGTCCTTCACGCGGCTCTTTAAAAGATACACAATGCTCAGAACTAATACCAGCAGAAGGAGAAATATCTTGTCTGGTTCTATACTCCATTCTGTCATTATTGCAACCTACAAAATATAATATGACTAATTTGTGTCACAACAGAATGATGGTAGTTAAAAAAAAAAAGGTGTTGATATTTTGTTATGCATATTTCTTGTACATGTTATCATATTAAAAGCATTTGATTGTGTCCTGTTAAAGGTAAATACATCCAGATGAGCCAAAATATTTCAAGAAAATTAAACTTTATTGAGAGAAAAATCACTGAACTAAAATTTTAAGATCAGATTGTGTCCTGTTGAAAGCTACATGCCTCGAGATGAGCCAAAATATTTCAAGACAATCAAACATGTACTAAGATTTAAAGAAAATTTAAAAAAAGATTTAAGATTAAAGTAATAATAATCTACATGTTATTTAGGATTAAGAACTGATTATGCAGTATTTATCACCATATTTCTACAGCTTTATTTATATAGTTAGGGCTTTATTTGCTTATTTTGACCTATTTTATTATTTACATGAGTTGCAAGTGTTTCAATATGTAATTTCTTTGTTTATTTCACAATATTTCAAGTTTAAATACATTTTTTTAATTTTCATGAAAATTAGTATGAATCTCGATGCTAGCTGCTTTCAGGGGAAATGTGGGAAGGGTAGATTAAGTCATGTAGAGGCCATGTTTTACTTGAGATGGAATGACTTAGTAATTTTCATGAAAATTACCATGAATCTGGAGGCATGCTGCTTTAAAACTGTACAAAAATTAGCATGAATCTGGAGGCATGCTGCTTTAAAACTGTACAAAAATTAGCATGAATCTGGAGGCATGCTGCTTTAAATCTGTACAAAAATTAGCATGAATCTGGAGGCATGCTGCTTTAAAACTGTACAAAAATTAGCATGAATCTGGAGGCATGCTGCTTTAAATCTGTACAAAAATTAGCATGAATCTGGAGGCATGCTGCTTTAAAACTGAACATTGAATCAGCCAATATTATCTGAGACAAAAATTAGGCTGATCAAACTCCGAAAAAACTCCATAAAGGGTTAAACTATCCGCAACAGAAACAAAACTACTGTAACAAGTACCTATAACATTTGAACGATGATGTGAAAAAAATTGCAAAAAATCGCACGTACCATTTTTTTGAAAAATGACATTGATTTAAGGCCCCAAATCCCGATTTTTGAGAGAAATAATAATGTAAAAAAGGCCTTTTATAACGCCTATATGCCTATAGTATTACTGTTAAAGGCTTTAATTCTTCACTGTTTGTTTGAACTCGTTAATAAAATGTATGATTGGCCTACTGTGGGTATTTTTCATGCTGTCTAAGCATTTGTTTACTTTTTGACGGGGTAAATAATGTACCCCACCCACTATTTCATACAAATGTTGATACAGCAACTTAATGGAAAATATACCTTATACTTTGCATTTGCATTCAATGTGACCAAATAAACAATAAAATATCATCATCTTTATCAATGTAATTATTTTTTTTTTTTCATTCCTATATCTTAACGATGTTAACATGTACAATATTTATATGTGAATGTCGAATAGTTCAAATGGCAATAACAATTGACATATATGAAATTTCTGGTGGGGTTTTGTCCATTCTATAAAATTTTGAGTGGTGGGGTTTTAACTGGTGGGGTTTTGTCCGTCTTCCGCGCAAAATATTGGAATATATTATTATATTCATATACCAAACTTTACATACATTATTATAATAATGTCATACACACATTATTAAAATTAGAATAAAATAAACAATTTTAATCCATTTAAATGTAATGTAGATCCAATTACAGACAATCTATGAATTACATTTATATATTATATTATACAAAACAAAACATATTAAACACCAGAACATATAACATTATGACAAAGTATTCAATTAATTATTGGTTTTGGTTAATAATAAAAAAAATATGTGTTCAAGAGCAAAGTCTGAATCATATATGAATTATACTAAACATGCATTGTTTATTTCCAATTATGATGTCAACCACACATATGAATTATACTAAACATGCATTGTTTATTGCCAATTATGATGTCAACCACACATATGAATTATACTAAACATGCATTGTTTATTGCAAATTATGATGTCTACCACATATATGAATTATACTAAACATGCATTGTTAATTGCTAATTATGATGTCTACCACATATATGAATTATACTAAACATGCATTGTTTATTGTCAATTATGATGTCTACAACGTATATGAATTATACTAAACAGGCATTGTTTATTGTCAATTATGATGTCTACAATGTTAGTGAGTTTATCTTTTGAATTTCAAAGTGTGTATTATGTTGTATATCTTTGATCATTGGCAACCCCCAAGTTCAAAAAGTTTATACTGTCTATGAACTTTGTAAAGGCATCCACGGTTTTTGTCATCATAATCTTGTCGGCTTTCCCTTTTTTTTAGATATTATTGATATACAATCTCCAAAATGATATAAAAGCTTCTTTTTCATATGAGGAATAGAGTATGCACAATCACCACAAAGGTTTTCCATCATTGTGGTAAGTTCACCAATGGTAAGAATAACTCCCTCATTGTCCTAAATATATTTAGTTACGCTTATAAATGATTCCATAACGTCAACTGGGGTTCTCTTAGGACTTATCTTTTGTTTCTTAAATGGACTAGTACCATCTAATTGTTCTCCTGAAAAACGTTTAGGTATTCCTTTACCAGTTCGAAAATTGGAGCTACATGCTTGGTGATAGATAGCATCTGCTGCTGGTAAATCTATCACATGGGAAATTCTACCAAATACCTGCTGGGCCAAGTTGTCATAATTTCTCTTTTTGATATCATTGTCAATTGTCACCTGAAATTCTAATTCTGTGACTGGGTACACATCGTCATTACGACTTCGTTTTCTTTGATTTGCACTAACTTTAATTAATTTTGCAGGAGAACCACAAAACAGACAATTAGTTTTAAAATCAAATTTGTAATTTGACCTGGTATAAGGTTGCAATTCTGCTGGGGATTTATTGTCAGTAATTTCTTTAAGAGTTCTTGGATGTGTGTAATTTCTTCTACAATCTTTATGGATATAGTCTCCAGGAATTACTCTCCATTCAGCCTGGTTTTTCTCAGCATATGCATTAATTGTTACACAGCCTTTTTCACGCAGTTTAGCAGAGATACTCTTGTCGTCTGGATCAAGCTCTTCCTTGCAAATTGGACAATCCATCTTCTGTTTAATAATGAAAATATCAGGGTTAAGTGAAATAATTACACTTTAAAATAAATTAATAAATAAATAAATATGTGTGATTTCCATGTGCATCCTATATTTTAACTGTTAAATATGTTATTATGTTAAATATTACTAATATAATAACATGTACAAAACAATGTATATAGTTGATACTGAAATTTGAATTTGAATCGAAAATCAAAGTTATTTGATTCATCAGTATTTTTAAAAGATTTATCAAACCAGATCATTCTATTGTTTCATATCGATTTTACCATAAATATAATTTGGCATAATTTTGAAACAAATTAGCATGTTAAAATTACCTTCCACTTAATTTATGACATCCAAATTAATCATGTACCTATCACTCTTTTAGGCTCAATGTGCTTTCATAAAGATTGTGTGTTACTGTATCCTGAAAATTTATGAAAATAATCAAGGTTTGCGCTAAAACTCTTATTTTTCCTTTTATAAATTCTCAAATTTAAAGTATAAAATCAATATATATTTTTCAAGAACAAATATATGATACTGAGTATTTATAAAAACAAAACTTACTCACCTTAGCTTATATTATTTTCACAAAATATTGAACTCTTTCTATAAATGCTGTCTATATAAGTTTTTAAGCCAAGATTTCCAAGTCTATGATAGGGCAACAGTCATGTGAGGGCTTTAAATGGCGAAGCCTGCGACATGTCTGTAAAAGAATTAAAATATTGTTATTTTATTATGTAAACTTGTTGATCATATTTGACATAATTTGTAATAATTACAGTGTTACTATATATGTAATTTAAAAGGTATATGTTTGTAACTATAGTAAAATGAAGCGTATGAATAAACTAAATTTCATATTCAACACACAGAGTTAAATAATATATCTACTGTCTACGTACTATTCATTATATTCCATTTATAGTTGACTCTTGCATATCAACATCTTTTCAGAACAAAAGGAAGCACTACAGAGATTCAGTCAATGTAACGGTATATCTGTAAATTAAAATGAAAGTTCAAAATGTATATTCAATTTTGTTGTTCACGCTAAAATGCGAAAAAACTGCAGCAAGATTAGTCAATTGTTGAAAATGTTGATGAAGTTTAGTGAAAAATCACTATCACTGTTAAATGCGAAAAAAATGTGTTATAATTTTTCTTTATTTAAACGTACTTTTGACCCGTATCCGCTTCCGTAGTTAAACAAAATAACGAACGTTTGCTTACCGGAACAATATTTTTTTTGCCAATAAATCACTCTTTGCGTGATAATTCTTAGTTTGTACAAAAAACAAAGTTAATATAAGCATAACAGAGATAGACATACACCAGAAACCTTAAATATCTGCCTACAGCCCCGTGAGACATAACCAAGGTCATCTACATGCTTTGAGTTCTAAATGTTTGGAAAAAAATAATTTAAAAGAAGATTATATGAAATGCATGTTCTGCATTATATTATCTTTTCAAGACCATCAATAATTTACCTTTTTCTGTCTCCAAAGGCAAAACATCTGTGAAAACGTCGACTGTTTACACTTTCGAATTCCTCGCGCGTGCGAACTTCTGCTTGGAGAGCAACAAAGGGAGATAACAAAAATGGCGTACGGTATACGGTTGTGGCCATTAGAATTTTTTTTAGAAATGCTGTTTTAAAAAGTCAATAATTTCAAAACCGTAAAACGCTGAGCACGCGATTTTTTTATTAAATAGAGAAATACAGAATCCCTAAAGAAAGCCCAACACGACAAAATTGAAAATGTTGCAGGCTCGGTTTGATTGAGCCTGTTCATGGACGGTACTGGAAAGTGCAAGCCACCGCCCACGCCCCCCAGCACCGGCCCAAGCAGAATTCAACATTTAAACATGAAATAGTAAAAGTTTGAATTTAGAAACATCCGCAGATGTGTTCATACGGCGGTTATCATAGAACCTTCAATGTGACACTTCCATGCCATTCCATGAAAAGCGGCGTATGGTCCCCAAGTAATAAAAAGCGTGTGCCCTAAACTAGAAAACAATGGGCAAAACTAAATAAAATGGAATTTTGAAAGGGGATCAGAGGTTATGAAGCCTGCGTATCACAGATAAGACGTCAAAAGACAAATTTAAAAAGCAGGCAACATATCCTAAGGGTGATTCAACATTATTCAAGTAGGAATATTGGAACCACCAATATAGAAAATGCCGAAAAGTTGAAACTAAAAATACCACAAGCACAACAATAATGTCGGGCTGAACGATCTTCAACTCTTATCTATACATGTTCTTTCGTGGAGCGTACTTTTTGTTTCTGTTGCTTATAGTTTAACCTTTTTATTTACTTTGATTAGACTAAATGTAAAATGTGCAGAATATTCAAATAATAAATAGGTAATGTACATGTACGGGTGTATACAGTTTTATTATAACTAAGAAATTTGAATATTAATTTAAATGGGGTTAATTATTGTTTATAAAATGTAAACTCCACTTATCTAATGAGAAAAATGCCTAGTATGACAAAATGAGTATTTATAAGTTTTAGGCATTGATGCGGTAATCTGAAAAATAAAATCCCATTTCACAGTTGTCTCGATTTAGTATTTAACCTGCATTGCAGAGGGTAAACATTTAGTGGTGTTCTCACTATTGATTGTAGCGGTTTCCGTTCAGCTACTTGATTTTCTCGGTGAAATTGACAATTTCAAAGAGAAAACTGAGAATTAATTACTGTATAGTACAAAATTGATAATAATGTCCTTCACTACATGTATAATCTTACTTATGAAACAAAAGAGAAATGGTATATTAAACGAAAATTACCTTTGACAGGTACTCGCTGCTGCGGCTGCTGCTGATGATATAAACAATACCACTAAACACGGTATTGAACCGTATACTTGGCCCCGCCCATTAATTATTATAGTCTCCGCCCCAATAATGAAAGGTTTACGGATAAATGAATGAAATATCTTGGGTTGCTCTACAACATTACTTTCACCTAGAATAAATCGATACAATAAAAACGTTTAGCTTTAAAGTCTTAATGATTTTGAATGACGGCGAGCGACAAAATGAAAGTTATAGTACCGTACCACAAAAAGTACGGGATGGAATGAATAACGTTATGTGCAGTTGCATCGCTACATGTATATTAAATCACGGATTTATGTAATAATTATATAAATCCGTGTTTAAATCTACTATTTTATTCCATTTGTTTATTACGGACTTATCTTTATAAAAAGCACATTTTACCACTCTCATGTAAATATTGTATGATAACTGTACACACCGCTATATTTTATATATTTAAAAGTCAAACCATATCTTAATATGGTTGATAAAAATTAAGTTCAGTCCACTTAAAGCTAAGTACGTACTACATTCCTTGTGAAACATAAAACTATATACTTTTCAACACGTGACAGTTATATATACTTAGTTTTACTTGAAAGAGGAAGATCATGAATATGATATTTCTATATGAGCTATGTTGAAAAAAGTGGGATTCGAAACCAGGACCTTCATTTTTTTAATATTAATAATGACAAATTAAAGATCTAGATTATCAAAAGTATTTATATATAAAAATTCTATGCATGCATGTATCAATGTGCATTATCATTATAATCATTCACGTGAATTATTTAAAACATCATTTATTTAAGTTTATTATCATAATTACTTTGCCGAATATTATCTTTTCATAAAAAGAGAATATTATACCTGCGGTGCATAGAAACCCGGAAAACACCGGTTTTTCTATGCATCCTTATACAGTCCTGTCCATGACCCCATACGTCCAGAGTTTTCTTTAATATAAAACGTTATCCCACCGTAAAAAACGTTTGTGATTTCCTACTTTTTCATTAAAGAATTCCACATTTACAAGATATTTGTTAAATTTGATATTATATGTCACAGAATATTTTGTGTATTCCCACCACAACACCTTGGAAAAAAAAGAACAAAAGCAGCCACTATTGATATTGAGGTACATGTAATTAGATCAAGGATCAAGGTCTCAGTGAAACCTTATGAAGGTCAGCAACTTGAGAAGTATTAAGCCTAAGTTTGTGAAACACTGTATTGACATTACACAAGACAAGCAGACGACCCCAATTGATATAAGGTCATTGTCATAACTCAAGGTCATAGTGATACTTTGTAGGATCAGGCATTTAAGAAGTATTAATAAGCTTAAAACATAAACTTGATTGGGATTGGACATTCCCAATGGCCAGTAGATAATTATTTACTCTTACTGAGTTTTGAGGTCATTAGATCAAAGGTCAAGGTCAAAGTGACAACTTGTCTAATCTTCCGTAATACGTTTATGAAACTAATCACATATATATATAGATACGCATTTATGTTAATTATGCAACTATGGCAGGCAAATGAAATGGGGACATGAGTATCCTATGAACACATCGTCGCCTTATTCTAAAAATGTCCTAACTCCATTTTTACCAAAAATGAGATAACTGCACATTTATTTTAGTATTAGTTTGTTCTATCTCCAAAACAAAACATGTAAAGATTTACGTCATACTTTTGTAGATATAGCGTCTCTATTTTGTTCTATGTCCAATGGAAAGCTTTGCTGTTAGCCTTTTTTCGTCGTATCTCCAACACATGTAACACTTTTAGGCTAATCTTTCGTGCCAGCCAATCAAGTTGAAAAATATATGTCATGTGACCTGAAGGGGCCTGACAATATAATTGTTCTAACTCCAGTGATAACAACAACAATCGTATCTAAATCAGCCAGCTAACTAGGAAAGTAACAGTTAAAAAATGATTTCTGAAAGAATGTAAGTAATATATTTTAGCTTTTATACGTTTTATAAGTGAACTTATATTTTGCATTAGTATTTGTTTCATCTCGTATTTATGACTCTTTTATATATATTTTCTCAAAGTTTGACAATCACATAATTTCGGATAACCATATTCGGATATTCGTATGAACTATTTGGAACTATTTGGAGTATCGACCATTGTTGTTGTTTAATTGTTAATGCTATTATTTTGTCCATTTCAGGTCAGACTTACTTATATTATCAGACGTTGTCCTTAAAGAAATGGTGTCTTCTTAGAACTTGTGACTGCAGTTAGTAGAACTTCCACAAAACTATGGAATTTTTATATCAACAACATCAAGTCTGTGGGGAAATTTTGACTTGCCATCAGTTTAGGATAAATCATTGTTTCAAGTCTTAAAATATTCACAAAAGATTTAGATATTTAACATTCCAATAGGATCGGAATACCACTGTCTTGTCTAAACATAGATTTTAAGTTTGCATGCGAGCGGGTCATCAATGATTATATTTATTAGATAATAGCAGAATTCTTAAAGCACAATACGGCATGATCTAAAATGTTGCCGGCTCGGTTTGATTTAGCCTGTTCATGGACGATATTATTAGAATGTCCAGTTAAAATCTACGTTGTGCGACAAACACCAAAATGTGAGATCGCAAAATTCACTGGATGTAAAATCTTGAAAACGACGATTTTGCAATCTTGAAAGATTGTTAAGAACTTGAGCAGATATTTTTTCATACGCTGATATTAAACCACAAACAATACTTGAGACTTTGAGAGGCGGTATAAATGCATGTGGTGTTGACTTTAATTGTGTGAATTAAAAAAAGTGTTCTTGGTAATATAATTTGGATATGTATTCATTTAATCACAATATTAGAGATGGTTACAATGATTTCATTTTTCATAATGGTACAAAATATGTCAGTTTGTTTTAGCAAGTTCATTGATTAAAAATTTTATGAAATGTTTGTTTTTCTTTTTTTTATGGCACACTTTTATATTGTCATTATCGAGAAAGGCCCAAGTTGGAGATCACGTCAACGAATTTACACTTTGACATAATAATTTACAAAGATAAAGTGATTCAGTGTCAGCGGTTCAACCACTCTGGCTGAAAATGTTCTTTAGAATATAAAAATCTACTAATATCCTATAGTAAAATTATTACTCTTAAAAAATGCTAACTCAAAAAGTATTTACAATTTTAGCCTTACTTTGTCATATCTCCGCAAACTCATTTTTAGAGTATTTTTTTTTATCTAAAAATAAACATTTTTGGTCTATCTCCAAATATTTTTATTTTATTTTTTCAATTAGTGCAAATTATAAAGGTATATAACAAAGTGCTTTCATCACATGTTGACATAAATAATACCAATCCAGAAGTCCACACTGTTAGGAGTTATTAAATAAAAGTTACAAAGTCTTGAACCTTTAACCCCTTTTTCCCAAAAAAGAGGAAATTGTAGATACACCATTTTTAGAATAGGGCGACGACATACATGTATATATAGTTTTAAGTACTTTTATAAATTTTAAGTTTTCATTTGCCTGACATTTTACAATGTCCTTTTTGGGTGGTCCTAATTAACAAATTTTGAGAAAAAGTATATGCATGTTCAGTCATATAACGATGATATATATTTACCCATAAATTATTAAATAAATATTGCTGTCGTTTTCCTTACACGCGTAAAGGCACTTATAAAAGCCAGTTCGCAAATATATCGCGTATATAACGTTAGTTATACATATTACGCAACTTATGTAAAATTTGTAACATTTGACAATTTTTAGCACAAAGATTACGAGAAAAACGCGCGAATCTAATAGATTTCGCAAGTGGCCTAGACACATAGTATATACATGTATAATAAGTAGCACGAGCACGTGCGTGTTATCGCAAGACTGTATAGGCTCGCAAGAAAGGGTACAGTCACTGCAGTGTTTACATACTAGCTGTGACACACTTTTAATTGATTTAAAGTGAAAAAAAATCACTTTCAAGAGTGTGGTTACAACAATAATTACAACATACAGACTCTTTAAAAAATATATTTCATGCCATGCTGGAAGTTTAAAAACGTTTTCCTATGTGGCTGGGAATTGTTCAGTGAACGTTGCTTTCTCTCTAGCTCTTATCATATTTTTTTCTTTCATATTTTGAGGCTTCGGCGCCTGGTGGTTTGATGACGTCATAAAAATATATGGACGATGAGCAAAATAGTTGATTTTGAAAAAAACTGCTTTTATGAGTAGAAAAATATACTACTTTGCATATTTGATAAAGCTAAACATTCAGAAAATGTGGGGGTCTTTCTGTTTTGCCGGGTACTAAAAGGTGTTCCTGGTTCTATTGAGTAGCTTTCGAGTGTCGTTTATACTTCAAATAACGAACGACAATGTAGCAAATTATGTACACTTAGTCTAAAAATCACACAAATAACAATTATAATAATAATAATAATAATAATAATAATAATAATAATTATAATAATAATAACAACAACAATAATAATAATGATGATAATAATAATAATAATAATAATAATAATAATATAATAATAATAATAATAATAATAATAATAATATTAATAATAATAACAACAACAATAATAATAATGATGATAATAATAATAATAATAATAATAATAATAATAATAATAATAATAATAATAATAATAATAATAATAATAATGATGATGATGATGATGATGATGATGATGATGATGATGATGATAAAAAATAATAATAATGATAATAATGATAATAATAATTATGATAATGATAATAATTCAGATCAGTAATCAGTAACTTTTATAGACATTGACAAATATCTGGTTAGTTAACTGGTTAGTTATCCGCTTTAGGTGTTTCGCCTGCCGAGACATGACCAAAACCAGGTGGTAATAAAATATTTCTTTATTTTACATCGCTAGTAGTTTCAAGCTGTTTTGAGAACTACTTTGTGTTGAATGTTTCGTTGATAAGCGCTGTTGCAGATATTGAATGTCAGCATTGTATTTCCTGATCTGTGATCAGAAAATACAAAAAAAAAAAAAACAAAAACAAAAACTATATTATAAAATGAACAAACACAGTCATGTACTAACTACCGTCCAGGATATTTTGTAATGTTTTCACTTGAACTCAAACGACGCAATATATCCTATGAAGATAAATGCATTCCGTATAAGATGTGTGCACTTTAACTAAGCTTCATGAGCTAAGACCAACCTAATTTGCTATAATACATATAACGTTATGATTTAAAATGATTACGACAACAACGTTAAGGGTTACAAGAATAGTTTATTACAAAAGAAAATAGCTAAGCATGATTTTTATGTGCAAAGTTTGGTCTATAACACGCAACAGTACACTAACTTTTGCTCAACAATTGTAATCATAGCCCACTAGCGGTAACTGATTCTACCTATACGATCAGTGCAGACCAAGATCAGCAAGCACGTCTGCGCCGACTAATTATGATCCCAGTACTGTCGGCTTTTCCGTAGGTACATATTCTAAATCTTCCACCAAACCTTAATATGACGAATGGTTTTGCCAAGATTAAAAGATGAATGCGTTCAATGATATGTTAATTGGGGAATGGGGTTAAATAATATGCAAGTCATGGATGCAAACTTAATTTAGCTTTCTTGGATAACTCAGTCAGTTTATAGTATGAAGATAAAAAACTACAATGACATTTCACGTCACGTGGTTTACACGTGGTATCGTGGTTAACACGTGGTATGGGAACTGTTACGTAAGAATACATATACTAACCAATCTTACCGCATAACAAAATTAGCAATTGAATTTTGACATATTTGACCTTATCTAATTGTGAAGAGGTGGCACTGATTAATAAATCAACATATTGTATTTTCCGGCCCATAACATTCGGCAAACTTAATCATTTAAATTTGATTTTACACTTCATTCTTTCATGTTAAATATAAACAATTATATTATTGATTTATAATTATCACATATGACGACATTTTTTCTACTCGGGCACTATATATTATTAATAGAAAACCGTTGATTTTATTCACAAACTGCGCCACTGTTGTCAGAGGTTAACCTACCAGAAGAACTCTATTTACCGCGTAACAGTTCCCACCCTGTGGTTTAAAAACTCAAACAGTGTCTCTGAATATGATGCTACATTATAGATTTCAAAATTGTGAAAATGCACATGAAGGCGGACAATGCGATGTTATTTCTGGAAGCCCCGCCCACCACAGGGGGATCGTCATCGGACCATTTTCTGCACTCCTCCCATGCGAGTTCCGCGTTGCACGAGTCTAGCCGGTAAAAGTAGTCCATGATCGCAAGTTTGGTTCCAGGGTCTTCAGCATTCATTGAGGTCTTTATATTCTTGAGATGAACCCCCTGAAAACATGGCTCTTTGAAAATCTCACGGACAACGTCGATGCACCCTTCCTTACAATGTCCCGGCTCACAATGTGTCAACAGTAAGACGTTTCTTCTCATAGTGTCTGGGTGTCTAAAATAATACATGCTATTTTGTATAATAAACGCATCGTCTTATTTTCCTGGTTACTAAAATGGTCCGGAGCATTTTTAAATTTACCAAAATGACTTTAAGCTACTCTCCTTAATTCTTATACTTTTCTTTATCTCAATAGGACGATTATTTTATGTCGAATATCAAGTTACGAGAAGCCTCGTCTTTTCGAATCGAGAACAATAACTTTGGTTTTATCTGTATTCTTTTTTTAAAGTTTAAAAGTTTTGCAAAATGAATAGAAGAGCGTTTAAACATTTCTGAAAATCTTGAGGGTTTCGCACCAAAGAAATTGTATGGTCTGCTAAGAGGAGGGCGGTGCTAGGGTCGTTAGAGTTTCCATGTTATCATCGGATGCGTAGTCAAGTACCCAGCTAAAAGATAATTTAGATATAGCCCTGGACATTTCCAGACCAAGAACATGGAAGAATATCTCCATTTTTGTTCTATTTCAGCAAAAATTGAGCAAAATCTGTTTTTTGCCTCTCAGGTACTCAAACAAGTACATTTTTCATATGGACTTGTCAAGGTTCCATTTTTACAACGTTACGTGGATATCGAGATGAAAAACGGAAGTTGGTCAGCCAACAGTGTAGAGACTGGTCATACTATATGGATGTGCAGTCCGGCTCGGCTCTATACTAGAGGCAAAGGCTCATCATTTTCGGACATATCAAGTTAAAGCATGCATATAAATGATATGATTATATTAAAAGTGACATAAGATGATACTTATGGATGATAATTCAGCCCAGAAATGAAACAAACATGATAATCACGTGGTAAAGCCTGGCGAAATACTTACGACTGGTTCCCTAAAGATTCATAATCGCAATCGTCTGCGCATTGGTCGATATCCCCGTATGAAATGCAATCTGCAAAAGATAGTCAATGTCATATGAAATGAAAATCTAGCTTAGAATAAAAATGGCGTTTGTTTTGACCTCATTCCGTAGCAATCAGTAGCTTTTCTTTCCAATTTAAAGGACGGACTTTTTGTGTAAATGAGAAATTATATTTCCACCTCTTTAAAGAAAACTTCTATAATATGATATATTTATAAATTCGTTAAAAAGAGCATTATAATAGCTTTTTAACTAAAATACTTTATCACGTCTGAAAAAAGAACAATTGTAACATGTATGGCACACAAACCCTGTCAATGAAAGGGTAGCTCACTAACGAGAGTGGATTCGGGATACTTTCCTATATGTTATAATTCACCATTTATTGTAATGCTCATTATGAGTATTTTGACGTTTCTACCGACGTCGTTACACAAACTCCTGAAAAAAGGTTAAGAAAACAAAAATGGTTTTTACCCTCTCCCTGCTCCCAGTTTTTCGCCGGGTAATACATTATGAAGGTGAAACACATCTCTTCAGAAGTAGCCTCCCCGTAGCGAGTTGTCTCCCCTCTCGATGAGGAATCAAAATGACATTTTACCTCGAGGCTATAACCTGGTTCCATCACCAATGGGTCCTCGAAACTAAAAATGTAGAGAATGAAATATACATTGTATTGTTAACCTCTTGCCTCGGAAAACAAGACGAAAAAAAAAGGACCCCGAAAGAACGCCCAAAACGGCAAAATTGAAAATGTTGCAAGCTGGGTTTGATTGAGTCTGTCCTTGGAAAATAGTGGAAAGTGCAAGCTACCGTCCACGCCCCCATCCTCCCAGTACCGGTCAATGAAAAATTCAACGTTCACGTCTAAGTTATAAATTTTTTTCGTTGATGAAAAAACGATCCAAAGAGATTTTTGACACAAATGTTTAAGAGTTATTTCACACACATAATATACTAATACATGTACTATTATACCTTACGCTACGCTATACTAGTATCACTAAATACCTGTACACTAATATTATACCTTACGCTACCTAATTATATACTATCACTAAACACCTATATACCAATATTATACACCCTGCGCTTCATAAGCGTAAAATAATTCATCACGAGATCGACGAACGCTAGATTTGCGCATTAAATGATTTTATTTACCTTGCAAACTATTGCAAAGTTTAAATAAATTGATGAAAAAGTTGTCATTCTGCTTATTTGTCGATATGAAAACTATATAACATCAAGCAGTTTTTTGTTGTTGTTTTTTGTTGTTGTTGTTGTTGTTGTTTTGTTCTTTTTTTGTTGTTTTGTTTTAATCAATTCAGTACTAGATCAAAATGATTATTTATAAAAACAAAACACATAAGTAAATTAGAAAATTATGAACATTAAAGAAGTAAAAAAGAAATATCTAATTACTAACACGACAAACTTTGGTGAATTATAGTCGTAAGTTTCCTCATGCGAGATAGTAGTTACTTTCCCGTCTCCAGACACCATGTTTGAAGTTGCCGCAGCACCTATAAACAGGAAATATCTCAATAATCTTACCATCAAGAAAAATAATAACTCAAGATGTATGTTATGAATTTATAGGCGGACTAACTATTTTGTACAAAGGGAGACCTCCAAATTCGTGCAATGATAACGTCAAAGAGCATACATAATTATCATGTTAAAGCCTATTGAATAAGGAGGGGCGGTGCTGAAGCGGTCTGGATCGCCTGCCCCCGACTGCCAACAAGACGGGAACCAGGCTTTATGAGATGTAACGGGAACAAATTTCTTAAAGTATGCCTCTGGTTTGTGTCAAATTGAAAACTTGAGATATAATTAAAATACAATAAAAGTAAAATTACCGCCACTAATTAAGACAGACAAAACTGCGTTAAATTCCTGAAGTAATTATAAGTAAATTTTTATGGAAAAGATTATGTTCTAAAACTTGTGACTTGCACATCCATAATTCGTTTACAGCATGATAAGCAATCTAAAGTACTAAACCGTAAAATATCGAAACTTATCGTTTAATATTTATTCTGCAGATTGTCATGGATTACCAGCTGAACGATGTTTAAATGGATAAGGTGTCCGACTCTTATCACAGGGATCTTAGCTCGAGCCCCACTAGTGTCCTATTTCATCATAATTATTATACCGGTAATTGGACATGAAAGTTATTACTACAAGTTACAAAAATTGGTCCAATTAAACTTAAGTGTTCTAAATTATTCTACAGTAAAACCCTTCTATTAAGAACACAAACGGAACTGGATAAAAGTGCTCTTAATTGCGTGATGGTCTCAGTTGTGGATATTATTATCATAGCTTATATATTTTATGACATAAAGAACACAAAATTTCAGTTTTTGATTTTAAATTGGCCTTTTAATAGCGGATGGTCTGAATTCAATGGTGGTCTTAAGTAGGGTTTTTACTTCAATTCCATGCATACGATGATTAAAGTTTTGTAGATTTACCTAGCCCATGCATATGATTCATAGCTCCGACGATATTGATATTGCCCGACATAAGCTTTTCCGTGCATTTAGAGCTGCACGTCCCCTCCTCGGTGTGGCGGGCCGTGTATGGCGGTATATTCATGTCCATTTGTCCAATCAAAAACATACCAGCATCGTTAGACCTTAAATTTGGTGTGAGGTAAAGTGATATTCCTGAGCTGTCAACGAATGTGCTCTTCTCCTCTACGTTATTCCAGTGTAGCTGAAATAAAGAAAAACATACACTCAAGAATGCTTTCGGCTTAGCGGGTATTACTTCCCTTTATTATAAGGACACACACCAATCTCATCTTCTCGGCCCTTTCCGTCACACTTTGGATTATGAATAATAGCAGAGGAGTTCCGATTGGACACACGCTTTAAAATAAGATGTCTTCCTCTACAACATTTTTACGTACGGGCTGAAACAAGAGCTTTCTGTAAGTCAGGTGGGCACCACTTCAAGCTTTAAGGTTGAAATGTGTGTCTTTGTTGGAAGTCGTAAAGTAGACTTTAAGTCTTTAGTAATACAGGACACAATTGTACCAAAATCAATAGCAGTGATCGCTGTCCGTTTGATATAGGTTCTTAACTTAATAACGTTTTGTACAATTAATAGTTTTTGTGCAATGGTCCTTTACAGAAAGCTGAACCAGCATGATGTTCTAATTCTAAACGGAGTAACAAATGTGCAACAAATACGAGTATTAACTAATCAAGACGTTCTGTAACTAATGCGCTTCCGTAGAAATGCCCTGAACAAAATTAAATGTAATTTTGGCCTTTCGTTGACAACTGTCTAAAATTTTATAAAAGTCGAATGAGACTCATACATGATTAACAATATCTTCATATCTACCAGCCAATAGCCATAAATGCTTAAAGGAACCGCAATGTTCTTTAGTTCCCCAGGCCCTTGGCTACAAACGTAGAAACAACATAGGGATGCTCTACATTTAACAGTTCTCACCCAAGATTTCTATTGTATTTATGGACAATAATGATCTTTGACGATTCAGCCATTGACCCCAGCCACTGATTACTCTATGATTTATACCTCTAAAACAACCGTCTTGAAGCCATTTTTGCCAAGCCTAAAGCCTGCATTCTCTTGGTAACAGAAACCAGTTGTTCCGACAGTCCAGATTCCTATCAGGTTCTCACAGCCTTCGATTCTACTCATGAAACATTCCGTGGGTGACCGTTGCTTTTCTTCGATATTTGCTGAAAGAAAAACAATGTATAGTGAAACCTTTTCATGTAGTATTTCAGGTCAGATCATCTGTCAGTGATGCGATGCTTAGCTGGGCTTCTTAGGCTGTGTTTGTGCTCGTTCGTGTGTGTGAGCTGTGTGTGTGTGTTGTGTGCGCGAGCGCGCGCGTGTGTGTGTGTAGCCTGGGGAGACAGTGGGAGTATCATATGGTGTATTGAAAACGCGAAATATGTTGATAAAGGGAATATTAGACTTTCAAGTTATAAGATTATTGAGTAGGAAGAAATACAGCAATGATCCTTGCTCTGCAGATCAGTATTTTTTACATGGAGATTTTTATCCGAATTCTTATTTTAAGTCGTACACAGCTTCGTTGGTAAACACAGCAATAAAATTACTGACAATGTGGCTTATTACTATCATTTCATGTGGCAATTTGTTATACCACTTAGTGGCACTTATCCATAATATGTGATAAAAGTACATGTAATATACCACTTTAAATGAAGATCACGTGACTTACCATCGTCCCTGCATCCGTAAATCACCACGTGATGTAAAAGTTCCAAGGTGTCAACGTAGCCTTTCGTAGCGACCAGATGGTAGTCCATTTCCATATTGACCCCAACATCCTTCAGGTCAATTGCTTGACACATATAAGTTGTCTCTTTTGCGGGAACTGGGGAACTTGAGAGTAGTACATCGACAGAGAAACTATCTGAAAAAGAATATATAAAGAACTCTATGGAGGGCGTTCGTTGCCAAAAGTCCAGACATGTAAAGTGTTCCTTTTTAAAATGACTTTTGAAAATGCAAACTTGTATGCCTACCATTTTTTATTGTACCCGTGCATAGCACATGATATGTCTCTTAATTCAATCTTTTAATTGAAGGTTCCCGCCTTTATATAACAAGTTTACATAGATTGTAACAACTGACCTAACATCTAAAACGACAACAAATTTACAAGTTCGTATCTTCCATTGCATGCAATACATATGCATGTTTGCACACTTATAGATATGAAATTATATAAATGAAATGTAAATCTTAAATACAGAAAATAGAGTTTAAGAAAACGTGTTACCAGTTGTAGAACTACAAGAGTACGTTAACACAGTAACATGTTTAAAATGACAAAAGTAGATTCACAAAGTTAAACGATTTTAAGTCAAGCATAACGCCCCGCCCCTCTCGGAGTATTTACGAACTTCTATTGCGGACAGGTATAAAACGGCGCCTCTCCCATATTTCTAAATAAAACCGAAGGACAACATACGGCATTTTTCATATCATATATTTGTTTCATTTGTTACAAAAGTTTTGTCACTAGCAACATCAATTGAAAATTGCTGGTTTTACCATTTATGATGAAGATAACTTATGCATAAACTTATTATTTAACATCGTGTTTTCCTGAGAAACATCGGCGATTTGAAAATTTTTAGGGCAAACAATGACCAACTTCAAGGGAGCAATTTTATTGATAATCTAAAGACCATCCAATACTTTTATTGGTATCATTGAAAAATGTATTGGCACAAATTTCATTTTCAACAAAAACTATGCAAGTATTTGCAAAAGTAGGATTTAAAAGCGGCCACCGAGATTTCCTTTCCGAAATCAAGAAAAAACTTACCCGTAGCACATATTTACAATCTTTAATATGGTATTTTCAGTATAAATAAAAACATTTTGCACTTGTTCATTATCCCTCATGTACAGACTCAATCAAACCGAGTCTGCATTTCTTATGTAATTTTGTTGTGATTTATGCTTCCGAGGGATCACTTTGTTTCAAGATTTTTATACTTCACAACAGCAGGTGTCAAGTGCCGTGTAGCAGCTGTAAAAAGTTGCCCCGTACTCAACTTCAGTGTTGTTATATTTTTCATGTCCTTCGGGATCATTGATGCCAGCGCTATTAAGTGTTGAGAATAGAGTACCGCTCAAGTCGGTGCCAGGGGGCATGAGGGAAGTTGCACTTGTTCATTTTCCCTCATGTACAGACTCAATAAAACCGAGTCTGCAATTCCTTTGAATTCCTAATCAGTTACAAATTATTTATCATTTAGTGAATAACCTGTCCGTGCTCTGTCTTTGCCCTGTCCTGTTTTTGTTTGGGGTCCGCCTGGGCTCCTTGCCACTGGTTCTTGTTGCTGGGTCATATGGGGGTTGCGTTCATTGAACGCCGCCTTTCCTTGTTAATCTTGTTTATCATATTTTATGTAATTTTGTTGTGATTAATGCTTCCGAGGGATCACTTTGTTTCCAGATTTTTAATATACTTGTCCAAAGCTTATGGTCTTTACTTTCATTCAATATTCATTTTCTTTTTTGAATAAAGTATCTAAAGGAAGCGACGTGATTTTAAGAGAGAAAAAATAAACAACGATAAGTTCGAAACAAAATTTTAAATACGTAATTAATTTTCATTTTTAAGGCATCACTAGAAAGTTCATGAAGGATTCTTTTACTTGTGTCTAAATTTATCAAAACTGACCAAGAAATAAAAAAGTAAGTAGGGGGCGCCATGTTTCTCTTACTGAATTTCAGCGTGTGTTTCTGTTTTCTTATTTGGGGACCATATGCCGTTTTTCATGGAATAGCACGTACGTGTCACATTGAAGGTTCCATGATAATCGCCATATTAACACATATGCGGAAGTTTCAAAATTGTACAAGTTCATATTAAATGTGAATTTTGCTTGAGACGATGCTAGGGGGCGTGGACGGTAAAATATGAAAAACAAGATCAACAAGGAAAGGCGGCGTTCAATGAACGCAACCCCCATATGACCCAGCAACAAGAACCAACGGCAAGGAGCCCAGGCGGACCCCAAACATAAAAAGGACAGGGCAACTTGCACTTTCCATTACCGTACATGAACAGGCTCAATCAAACCGAGCCTGCAACATTCTCAATTTTGTCGTTTTGAGCGTTCTTTAGGGATTCTTATTTTCTCTATTTTACAGAAAGTAACATGATAAACTTTAAAACGAAAAAATTAATTCATTTTGATTTAATTCAGTTTTATTTTAGGCATTATATAATTATATATTATAAATCGTATGAAGCACACTTTTATTTAAATCCAAAATTATCAAAATTGATTACGAAATAAAAAAGTTTGGTGGGAACGCCGTGTTTTTCTTACCATTTCGAGTGTTATTTTCAGAGGAAAAAATGATAAATTTTGAGCAAAAATTTCAATACATCTATTTAATTTATTTTTGAAGCACTAATACAAAGATTATGGAGTAATCTTTCATTTGATACAAAAAATATTTGACTTTTTATAGAAATAAAAAAGTTAGAATGGACGCCGTGTTTTCCTTCACATTATTGAGAAATAGGAGAGAGGCGACGGGTATTATACCTGTCCGTGCATTTCGTAATAGAAGATCGTAAGTACTCAGAGAGGGGCGGGCGTCATGCATGACTTAAAATCGTTTAACTTTGTGAATTTACTTTTGTCATTTTAAACGTGTTACTGTGTAAACGTACTGTTGTAGTTCTACGACTGGAAACACGTTTTATTAAATTCTATTTTCTGTATTCGAGTTTTACATTTCATTTGTATTTTTCAGGTACGGATAGATATCTACAAGTGTGCAAACATGCTTATGTATTATATGCTTATGTATTATATGCAATTGGAAGATACGAACTTGTAGATTTGTTGTTGTTCTCCATGTAATGTCAGTTGTTGAGATTAACATGTAAACTTGTTATTTAAAAGCGGGTGCCTTCAATTAAAAGATTGGATTAAGAGGCATATCATTTGTTGTGCAGTAATACAATAAAAAATGCTAGACATACACGTTCGCATTTTCAAAAGTAGTTTTCAAAAGGAACACATTACATGACTGGAATTTTGGCAACGATCGCCCTCCATAGAACTCGAGAAATACTTTTTTTAAAATGTCACTGTTCAACAGAACAGGGAACACAAACAGTGAAGTTTGTAGAATTTTGGTTAAGAAAAAACGATTAAACTTTTTAGCGTACGTGAACTTTCCAGATTTATTATTGGACGATCAATAAAAAGCAAATAGTATATAAAGATAACAATATATGATTAAAAAGTGAGGATTTAACTCATTATGTACAGTGTTGGAGCAGTACCTCTAAACGGATGCAGAAATCATGATTACAAAGAAGAGAAATATCGCATTTTTCGCCATTTCTTACAGTTTTTATTCATTTCCTATATAAATCAGAGTAAAAAGATGAACAAGATGTTTTAAAGTGCATATCGACTGGTAAAATTGCGAAATTTTAGCATTAAATAATTTGAGCGCCTTGTCCGGTATATACCGGAATACGGAATTTAATGTGGTGCTCCGACACTAATTTTTTTAAAAGTCATACTCGTTTCAAATTACACTTCATATGTCAACGAGGAGCGTGTGGAAGTTAAAGATGCTCTTACCAGCGTCATTGTCGATCCCATCGCATTTAAAGTCCATATCCGAGCACGTTTCTAGGAAGGTGTTTTTACCCTTGCATTGTTCACTCCCGACAGGCTCACAGATACCTGCCGACGAATAAGAAATCATATTTTTAAAAAAACATTATATTCACATAAAAACGATTTGATTATAGGACTACTCGGAACACATCGGGCGACTTCAATAATACGGAATATTGTCCGAGAAAGCCAAATTATTACAATTGTTATTGGACAGGAAGGAGTTATTGCCCAAGAATCATCTGCATCAACAGACAGTGAGATTCACAGATACCAGAGTTTGAAAATGATATAATTTGTTGGTATCTTAACACAACATACTTAAGGTTCACAGATACACAATGGTAGATTCAAGGTTCACAGGTACACAATTGTAAATTCAAGGTTCACAGATACACAATCGTAGATTTAAGGTTGACATATACAAAATGGTAGATTAAGGTTGACATAATTATAAACAGTGGTAGATTCAAGGTTCACAGATACACAGTGGTAGATTTAAGGTTTACAGATATACAATGGTAGAATCAAGGTTCACAGGTACACAATGGTAGATTTAAGGTTCACAGATATACAATGGAAGATTTAAGGTTCACAGATATACAATGGAAGATTTAAGGTTCACAGGTACACACTGGTAGGTTGAAGGTTCACAGATACACAGTGGTAGATTTAATTTTCACAGATACAAATCGTAGATTTAAGGTTCATAGAAACACAATGGCGCCCTGGGTATATTGTTTCCATTATATATTACCTGGATGGGAAATATCAGAACCTCTTTGAGGAACTGAGCCTTCTTTCCAAACACAGCTTGGATCCCCTAGCTCCTCCCCATTGGTTCTGCCATCGCCATCCGAATCTTTCCTACATAATGTGTCTGTCCATGTCTGCAAAATATTCTTCAAACAATTATCAGCAGCATTTTACAAATTGATTTATTAGATTATTTAAGAATTGATTTATTAGATAATTTATGTTTTTTGTTTGTTTGTTTGTTTGTTTCATTTTACAGTATTTCAGTCATATAGGCGGGTAGTTTCCTAACCATTGTTCCTGAAGAGTTACACCAGTACTAGACTACCTTCCTTCGCGCTTAACTACCAAAGAATCTCCCGGGGATCGAACCCATGCCAATTAGAAGTCATCGTCTCTAACCCCTCGACCACGGAGGCGGTTTAGGCGATAACCAAAACGATACACTAATTCGCATATGCGGTCCAAGTCGTTGGCTATTATGCTTCGCATATTATCCGAAGTAAACGGGAAAAGCCGATGTTTAACGATGGCAATTCGCACATCCGGTCCTTGAAATTAGCATATTTGCGATCTCGAAATTTGAACATGTAATTTAAGATATCATGTTATTCATCTCACGACATCAGTAATGTTAAGTAAAATAATATGACTTGAAAGTAAATAATATAGCGACGAATATAAGAAATTATTTCACAATCCGGCAAAAAAAAATGAATAATTACATGTATTTAATTTATAGGCACATTATGCCTAAGACTTTAATAAACAAATCCTTCTTTAGATAGTATAAACGTAAGTTACTAATGTTTAAATGATGGTTTTCAAGCATGTTAGAGGCTTATTACCTGAAAAAAGTAGTGCCGAATGTGAACTTATTTGTAATAAAAATAGCAAAATGTAAACAAAGTAATATTTTGACTTCCATATAAAATACTAAATCACTTGAACTTATGATTTTCCAGAATGCTACAGAAGCAAAATATGATTCCGTTAATTGGTAAATGAGTAACTTTTTTGAAACAATAATGAGACACCAACTATAGAAAGTGAATGGATATAATTAAATAAGTAATTTAATTTCTTTACATAATCAAAGCACTAGAGTACTAGCAGAGCACCCGTTACTATGACTACGAGTATGAACAGATGTTAAAATATATACTTTGTCAAAAAAACAACAACAAAAAAAAAGAAAAAAAAAAAACGAAACAAGTTTTTTGGGATAACATGCCATTGCATTGGTGTCTTGCAATAAGGAGACTCATGTCACGCGGCATATGTATTATAACTAGAACCGAAACAATCCTCTAAAAGAGAAACAAAAAGTAAATAAAATAAAGATTAAAAATTAAAACTTACGTAACCTTGACCTGCAAAATCTAGTCCAAAAGGATTCCTTTTTCCTCCGCCGCCTATGGCTTCATGACCAACACCTAGCCAGTTTCCATCGGGGTTGCATGGATTTGTGACGTTGAAACCATTTGGAATTCTTTCTCGAAAATTTGGGTAGCTGTGTACTTGATACAGCACGCATATCGCGGCAAAAAGCCTCAGTCTGTAAGTGTACATTTTTGAATGGTTTTATACATGTACCATACCCTGATGGTCATCTAGTGATGGTTAAAGACGGAACACCATTTAAGCCATCACTTAGGAATGATTATGATATTCTGAAACATCTTTAACGTGTAACAAAATCAAATAAAACATTAAAATACCGTCATTACAGAGAGGGTATTGAATGAACCTAGGTTTTTTAATGGATTTATTGAGGTTATTTACGGAATTTATTGCAAGATTTGATAAACATTTATACGAATTTCGATTATTTTCTTATCTCGATGCCAAAATGAGAATATATTATAAAAAGAGAATCGTCATTTTGTTTCATTACCGCGCCTATACTGTGACATTAACATCTAGCACGACTTTACGTTATTTAGAAATGTTTAACGCATATGACGTCATGTCAAAACATCGTTTTAAGGCACAGGTATGTCGTAAAAAGCATTTAAACTGCCTTTTTATTACCGCCGTAACGTCACATTTTCATAATCATTATATCGTAATGGGGCGTATTTATTTAAAGTCTGGATTACCCGCCCTTTTCTCTCCGTACTAAATTTTATAGTGCGACTGGAACCAGACTAATTTATTTACCGCAGTTTCGAAATTTTAGAATTTTCATCGTCGTACAAATCAGAATGATGTTTCTGGTAAACATTCATATGTGATGGCCCTGAGGGTATTCCGTAAATTCGTTACACCAATAAATTTATTGTGTAAATCATGCTGATACAGTATCGGTATTTATAACTTAAAGTATAAATATTTGACCTATATTGGATAACTTAAGATGAATAGATTGAACCAGTTATTATTGAAGTATGTTTTGAATAAAACTCTTAACCCTGAGTATCCTCTCCAAATCTTTACCCATATTTTTATTTATAATAGTAATCATCAACATCATGTCAAAACACGAAAGGAGTGAATATTTTATTTGGAATAACATGGATATCACATGTTAACAAAATATAACTGTCCCTAACAAAATATTTCATTGGTATTATATAAGTGTAGCCAATCAATTATTGCTGGTAGAGTTTTTTTTAAGAAACCTGCAACTGATCGCCTGATTTCAGACAACTCAAATTGAGCTTTTCTTTTCTTTCGATTTATTTACTACGCATTTCTATTACTATTTTACGACACCGTTGTGTTGTTATTAACGGTACAGCAGTTGCCCCTTTGCAGAGAATAACCTTGTTCTATATGTCTGGCGTAAAGCCAAGACCTCGATTCTCAATGTTACACTGAATGACCATTAGTATAGATCGTGTTGGAGCGGGGGATTGGACCTGCGGCTCAGGGTTACAGTGCGTAACCACTGGCCGACAAATCAGCCCCCTACCCCAAATAGTAGTATACGATTCGTAGACTTATGCCCTCATTTCTCATGACAGAAGCAATTTTTATCAACGTTGTATCAATTGATAGGGTTGTTTTTCCTTTTCAAAACAATGAAAATTCAAATTGTTAATAACGCAACTTGCATTGAAGACTGACTGCAATTTTAAAAAAACTTAATACAGACACAGCCTTTTTTAATCAACATAATTGGCAATAATTGTTATTAGAAATAATCTATCGGAAATAACCTTTTTAATAAGTATCTACATGTTACATATTTTTCTTATATCTATATGTAATTATTGAACAATCGATTGCCAACTATAGCTTGATATTGCTGATATAGGTAGAGAACTGTTTATTAAATTGTTTATGTTATAATTTAAGATTTAAATCTTCATTAATAATAGTGCCGTAACATAACTTACCTTAAATCAACCATCTTTCCTTTTCTTTAGTAAAATTCCTTACAGACGCTTAACGAAAAATAAATTCCGTCTGTTTTGAAATAGCTATAATGTCTCAATTATACCTAAAGTCTCGGGTGGATGCACATGTAAAAAAAAATATCCAAATTTAAACAGGGTAAATTCTAGTTCATGAACGTTTGTCGTTGAACTACTTATTCAGTAGTGCGTGAATATTTATGTGTCATCTTTTCAGACAAAAAATAGTATTTCAAAATTACTGAAATGTGACACCTTTCATTAAATAAAGGCAGGGGTATGTACGTTTGAAAATTTAACAAAAAGTACATTGATGTTATACGAATGAAAGTTGTATACAATTTCCTGTTAGATACGATAGTTTACTTTTAAGCGGTGCGCTTTATTGAAGGTAAATCACGAAGAACTAAATAAGTGGTTACACCATTCAAAACCTGGTACATAAATAAAATGATTGAATCTGAATAGAAAAATCCAAGTTGAAAATATAGCACAACACGATTTTTTATGTAAAATCTGTTTTGAAAATTGTATTTTGTAAATTAATATTTATTTATACTGATCAAATTTATAACTGAAGAAATGTTTTTCCCGGGCCCCAGCAATAAGAATGTCCCTATTTATTCTCCCCGTCCAAATGATCAGTATGTGTCGAGAAACAATCCCATACTGACCTTAAAAATCACTTTTGTGTGTGAGCGCATGCAGCTGTTTAAATTAACAACGATTCATGATTTCATACCTTATTTGATGGCTCCTTTTTATCGGATAAAAAAGGTTGAAAAAGATGATTGAAATCAGGATAAATAAGCCGTTTTTTAGATGAGAAACGGTTGCCAGATTTTACTGAATATTTCTACATTATCATTTTATAACTCTGTTATTTTTTCAAGTTCAATAGGTGATTTTAATTTAGTTATAAATCGTACAAATGCCTGGATAGACCTCAACAAATGATTTTCTTATAAATTTCAGGATGGCCACCCATGATTTATTTTCTTATGAATTCATGGATGGACGTTCGCGACTGATTTTCTTATCAATTCATGGATGGACGTCCAGGACTGATTTTCTTATCAATTCATGGTTGGACGTCCGTGATCGATTTTAGCATGACATAAACAATTAGATAATTATAATTTATGGATGGACGCCCTAAAATGGTTTAATTACAAATTAGTTGATGAACGTTCATAGTGATTTCTAACCAATTCATTTGGGAAGTGAAAAACTGGATTAAAAATTTGTTGATAAACGTCCAAATCTTATTATTCTGATAAATTTATGGGTAGATGTCCACATACGATTTCTGTGTAAGTTAATGATGGGACGTCCACAAATTACTTTCCTTGAGAATAATGGATATAAATCAACAATTGTTGTTCTGTTAAAATAATGGGTGGACGTCTATTACCGATTTTATAATAAATTCATAGGTTGTCTTCAACAGAATAAAGGACCGGCGTCCACAACAAATGAGATTTTTTAATTTCAAAGAGTTCAACATATTTTCTGCAAACCATGGATGGACATCTACCATTGATTTTCTTACATTCATCGATTGAGGTCTAATATTTATTTTCTCATATTCACAGATTGACGTCTACAATTCATTCCTTTTATTCATAGATGGGCATCTACAATTGATTTTCTTTTATTCATAGATGGACGTTTACAATTTATTTCCTTATATTAATGGATGGGCGTCTGCAATTGATTTTCTTATATTCACGGATTAACGTCTACAATTTCTTTTCTTATATTCATAGATGGACGTCTACAATTGATTTTCTTATATTCATTGTTGAACGTTTCTAAAAGAAACTTCTACAATTTTTGTTCTTTTGGACTCCCACAACCATATTTTCTATGAAATTCAATGGCGAACATCAAAAATTATTATTTTTATAAAGTTTTGAATGATACCAAATGATTTAAGAATAGAGTTAGGGAAACATCATGTTTTCTATCGTAATGTATTATAAGTTGTCACCGATTTTCTAAAGAACTGCTTGATAGATGTCCACAACTATTGCCTAAAAAGTCTGTTAGATGGACGTTTACAAATGTATTTTCTTCTTTCAAAGAAAGTCAATAAACAATAACATCAAGTAAGAAAAAGCAATCTATTGAACACTTCATTTTTAAAATAATGTGTCAGTAGATTTCTTTATAGTATCTTTATCACTATTTTCTTTTATTTCTGATGGTCTCTAAAAATTAAGCTTGTAAAAATTATTTGGCTAATCAGTCTCATAATATTGATATGTATTAAGACAGTCAAACACGCAAATAAAAACTAATTTTAAGACATGACTTGTATAGACAGTATTTTGTGCGGATTTTTCTGAAGTGGTCTTTAACACAGGGTTGACTATATTGTAATAAAAGATAGAGACATTTGAATTAGCAGGTCGGTGCTACAAAGTCAACGTCAGCTTCTGCATCATACTTTTTGCGCAGGTTACATAACGACATCTGCAGTATCGTCTGATTTCCGTTACCGTCAGGTACCTGTAACAAAATAACAAGAAAATGGTACAAAAGTTAAATGGTACAGTAGTTAAATAGTACAGTGCTTAAATTGTAATGCACTTAAATTATGATGTAGTTAAATTATACAGTAGTTAGATAGTACAGCAGTTGAATGGTACAAAAGTGAAATTGTACAGTAGATAAATGGTACAGTAGTTAAATGGTACAGTAGTTAAATGGTACAGTGGTTAAATAGTACAGTAGTTTAATGGTACAGTAGTTAAATAGTACAGTAGTTTAATGGTAAAGTAGTTACATTGTACAGTAGTTAAATGGTACAGATGTCAGATGGAACAGTAGTAAAAAGTACAGTAGCAAATTGGGTAGTGTTTCAATTGAAATGTAGTTAAATTGTAATGTACATGTAGTTGAATTATACTGTATTTAAAAAGTACAGTAGTTAAATGGTACATTTGTAAATTGAACTGTACTTAAATTGTAATGCTCTTGAATTATAATGTAGTTAGATAATACTGTAGTTAAATAGCACAATAGTTGAATGGTACAAAAGTTAAATTGTAAGTAGTTAAATGATACTGTATTTAAATGGTACTGTAGTAAAATAGTAAGTAGTTAAATGATACAGTAGTTAAATGCTCGTTAACTTGTGGTAAATAGTCAAATGATACAGCACTTAAATGGTGCAGTAGTTAATTAGTTTAATGAAGAAATAGTTAATAGATGCGGTACCTGTACGAAATTTTGGCACGGATTCTGGGCGGAATTGGCACGAAATTGGCACGGAATCAGTGATTTCTGGGCGGACCAGGGACGGAAACGCAAAATCCGTGCCATTCTGTCTCACAAGAAAAATATTTTGTTCACTTTTCTGGGCAGAAAACTAGAAAAATTCCGGCTGGAATTTTATTTTGAGCAGAATTTATACTTAAACATTTCATCTTGGACAGAATTTTCAACTTTGAATTTTTTTTTTGGGGGGGGGGGGGGGGTAGGAATAGTCTTCACTATGGGCGGAATTCTATACTTAAACATTTTTCTTGAACAGAATTTCACATATAAGATGTCCAAATCATAATTGTACTCTTGTTTTTGCACTTGCAGACATTGAAATTTTACCTACTGTACTTATTTTTTTTGCTGAACCAATAATTACAGGTGTATTTTTAGAATTAATATATTTTTATTTTTTTAGACATTAAAATAGGCCTTCTTTTTAGATAAAAAATGTGGCATTAACAATATATTGTCAGACTAATTTATATTGTTTGTTCTGAAAAACAACTGTAATAATCTTAGTGTAGAATTTGAAAACATTCACCTCCAAAATGCTTAAGTTTATAATATAAAGATTTTTCATACAGCTTGTATTATAATACGTTTACTGTATTATGAATTTTTAAATATGATTTTAGGACATCATCTAAAAGTAACATTAAAATAAGAATGCTTTTTAAAGTTGAATATACTATAGAATATAGGGCAGTCACATCGGGACAAGATTATGAGTGTGCTTGCCAATTTAAATTCTAAGAATTCATGATTTTGTTTTAAAAAAAATAAACAAAACAAAACAGTGCATGAAATAATCTCATATATTATGCCCTTATATAAAATTGATCAACCAATATGCCCAATAATTGCTTTTATTTACCATAGGTAAATAAATACTACAATGTATATTCACTGAGATTATATTCACCCAGATTTTACACTACACAGATCAGAGCTCTGATAAAACTCTACTGACCAGCAGTTTCCCATCATCTATGCATGACTGGTCATTCCAACAGATCAGGCTGTTCCATGTAATTATTTTGGGGAGAGATAACATTATGAATTGCATATGTAGAATTTGTCTAGGACATATTGCAATTTTTTTGTACAAAAATTTGTAATTGTTTTTTAAAATTTATATATATATATATATGTAATAGATATACCATTGCTGCGTTGACGATTTTTCGGTTTGCGTAAATTATACCATAGTCACATGACCTTTCTTATGCCTTAACCTCACGAGACGAAGTCGAGTGAGGTTGCATAAGAAAGGTCACGTGATTATGGTATAATTTATGCAAACCCAGAAATCGTCAACGCACCAATGGTGTATCTGTTTTAACCTATAGCTCCGCACAGAAACACTTACTCATTAGATCTTCAAAACTGAAAATTATACCATAGTCTGGGTATGGTATAATTTACGGTTATTGGAAATTATACTTGGTAGATTTTTACATAAGAAGCGCTGAAGAGCTATAGGTTAATTTACGGTTATTGGAAATTATACTTGGAAGAATTTACATAAGAAGCGCTGAAGAGCTATAGGTTAACTATTTGTTATTTGATTTTTCTTTTACATTCAATGAATGAAAGTTAAGATGATGAGTAAATTAACCCTGTTTAACATAATGATGGACCGGTCCATTATACAGTAAACTGTTGTGAATTTTGAATTCTAAGATATCTGGGTATGCAAAAAGAGTGCAAATTACAGAGGATGTACTTGATATTTTAACAATTTTGGGGTAAAGTTTTGTTTAAGATCTCAAAGTGTTAAAGTAATTGGTATGATAACATGGGACAAGGAGATGTATAACATAATCAGGTAATTATTAACTTTTAGTTACATTAATTTAATATGACGACTATCAATACTAAGTAGCCTTGAACTAAAATTTGTAACAAGAGGTCATTGTTGTTTTAGTATTTTCAACTTCATACATTTGTTTTTTTTCTGATAATTGTTTTAAATCTTTAATACATGTATTATTTGCAAGTTAAAAATTATTCAATGATTTTTTTGTTAATATAATGATTGTGTAGATCTATATTGTATAAATAGCATGTAAGTATATCTTTTTCATTTCCTGGAAATTAAACAAATTAAATAAATTTAATTAAAAAGGACTAAATGGTACAATCAGTAGTTTTGTACAGTTGAACAGGGTCATCATAATCATTTATTATTTTACATGTATGTGTTGTCTTTCCTATGGAACAATCTAAAATTACATTTTACACTCATAATTTGCAGGCTGCTCAGGGACTTAAGTGCTGACTGTGAGATGCCAGGGGTTTAATAATGATGTGCAGTATTAATCCTGAAAAGGTATATTTTTAAATCTCTATACTTAACTATTCAACATCTTTCCTTGAAAAATACATAACCAGTAATAAATAGTGTCACAAATAAAGCAGTCAGTTAATTCTTATACAGAGCAATTCTTAAACACTTGTACACTTGAATAACTGATTCTGTGTTGCTTTACTATTTTTGAATATGCTTTATAAGCATAGTTAATATTTAATACTGTTGAAACATAAAATTTGATATTATTAAAAAATATAAAATATAACTGCATATAATTATGCAATAAAACATAATTGAGCCGTGTCATGACAAAACCAACATAATGGGTTTGCGACCAGCATGGATCCAGACCAGTCTGCGCCTCAGCACATTCTGATCAGGATACATGCTGTTCACTATCAGTTTCTCTACTTGTAATAGGGATTGTAAGCGAACAGCATGGATCCTGATGAAACCGCGCGGATGCGCAGGCTGGTCTGGATCCATGCTGGTCGCAAACCCATTATGTTGGTTTTGTCATGACACGGCTCAATTCATTACAAAATATTTGTTTAATTAATTATGAATTTTATTATTAAAGGTTAGCACAACCACAAGAAGTTCTAGGAAACACAGGCAGTGGACTTAAAACAGACATGGATTAAAGAAATAGTAATTTAAATAATCAGAAACATTTGAAACAAATTTATGATTGAAACACTTCCAGCAAAATAATTGCAAAAAAAGTGTTGGATTCTAAGATTCCAAAACCTGCAGCTAGAAAAAAACTGTTTGTGTTATAGTGAATGTAGGGTATTCTATTCTGTATTTGGACTAAAGGATATGATATTTTTTTTTATTAAATTTTGTGAAAGAAAATTTAATGTGATGCATTATTGATAATTTTATCCCAAAATATGTGATCATGTTAAACTCATAAAATTCCGCCCCCTGAATTCTGTCCCAGAATTCCGCCCAGAATCTTGTTTGACAATTCCGCTCCGAAATTCCGCCCCAAGGTTCCGCCACAAGATTCCGCTTCAAATTCCGCCTTAAGATTCCGCTTCAAAATTCCGCCCCAACTCATTTGCATATTTCGTCCTAATTCCGCCCAGAATCCGTTCCATTTCCGCCTGGAATCCGGCCGGAATCCGTGCCAAAAGCAAATGGTTTAACACTTGTATATTCGGGGGAGAATTTAAATTTCTGGGCGGAATCTGCCTTTGAATTCCGCCCCATTTCCGTGCAGAAAATTTCGTACAGGTAGTTGAATGATACAATAGTATAACAGTACAGTTACTGTAGTTAAATGGTAATAATATAAAACGTAAACTCTGGTCGGGATATTTCTCCAGTTAGAGCGTCATGGTAAAATGAAGCTGTGAGTATATTTATTACAGCGTGTTTGGCTATATTATATGATCTAACGTCAGAAAACAGTAACACGTTATTATAATGTGGAGTCAAGTTATTATTACAAATATGTTAAGTCAAAATATTATTTTGTTGAGTCAAGTTATTATCATGTTGAGACAAGTTATCATTTTGTTTGGTTAAGTTATTATTTTGTTGATCAGCAAACGAATCATCTGCTGAACTAATATACAGAGCGGATAAAAATAACAAACAAGTATAATCAGCCTTTTTTAAAGTAAGTGGACAGGGGAAGGGGTAGGAAAGAGTAAGTTTGTCCATACCAGCATCGTTTATCTTTCAAAATCTTAAAAAAATACAAAATCAAATGTAGAATCGACAGGTAAGTAAACATTGTATTACAAACCCGTCACTATAGCACATAAAAATATGATTGTTTACTTTACCTTAATATTGTTTATGCTCAATACATTGATCCTGTATCTCCTTTTATTTTGAACAATTTGACTGCCGTTCGTTACTTGTATAAGAATAGCTGACATCACGGATTTATATTACAATATATTAATATAATGTAATATTAATCCGTGCTATAATATACTAAATGACCTCGTTATTACAATATTAATAAAGCTGCTATATTTTTCTCTCGCTCTAAAAGCTGTCTTATTTTCCTCCCTGGTTTAAAAACGGTCGTACACATTAAAGCGGGTTAATTTTAAAGCTGTAGTATATGTTAAAGCTGTTACATTTCCCACCCGAAATTTAAAGCTTTTGTCTCTTTAGTTTATTTACTGTCACATTACTATTGCTCATATTCCCCATTCTATGGCTGATTGTGGCACCTTTACATACCCGGTGTAGACGACCCGATACATGGAATATGTCACTGGAAAGACAATTTGTATTGTATTTGATAGATGGCTTTAAACTAAAGCTGTTCTATTAACCTTCCTAGTAAAACTGCAATTATGTTTACCTCTCGAGTAACGGTGTTTTTATTTAAACTGTATATGTATAACTTTTCAAATCGAAAAACTCAAAACAGTTCTAAAGACTGCAACACTAACCATAATCGTTGTATGCTGCACAATACTTTTCAGTGTCTGTTGCAGGAAAACAGCTGCATGCATCTCTTAGTGCGACACACGACGAAATAAGTATGAATACTGCCAAACAACACTTCATTTTTCACCTAGAAAAGGAACTAGTAGAGTTAATTTCCGCGAAAATATTTATATATTTATTCATATGTAGATTGTATTTTATTTACTAACTTATTTCCCCTAGTTTACCGAGAGCCTGCAATAGAACCTCTATCACAAAGGCTAATGGTGTACCACTATGAGTAACTAAACTGTCATATTATCGTTATACACTTGTAGGTCTGTTTTCAACATTACCTTTTTAAACTAGACTGTATAGAAAACGTCCATCCTTAATAGTACAATTTAATCAAGCATCTGATACATTTAATTGCTAATCAGATAATTTTGTATACTTCTTTTTTTTCGTCATTATGCACAGTTTAAAACAATTTTACAAAATAAATTTTGATATGCTTAAATAAGTACATATACTGCATTTTTTCTTTAAATCAAATAAAATATACTTTCTCTTCTGTTTCTGCTCTATTGTTAAATTGACAAAATATCGGTAACTATCTATAAATATCAATATTACTATCACATTATCACATTACATCTGTAGTGATCATATTCTGTTGTTAAACTGACAAAGTTTCGAAAGCAATTATCAATATTTACTATCACTTTATCACATTAAATCTGTAGTGACCACTATATCACAATACAATATCACATTACATCCGTAGTGAACATGCTTTATTGTTAAATTGACAAAGTATCGGTAACTATCTATAGATATAAATATTACTATCACATTATCACATTACATCTGTAGTGAACATGTTCAATTTTTAAATTGACAAATTATCAGCAATTTTCTATAGATATTAATGTTACTATCAAATTATCACATTTAATATGTAGTGATCATTATACTTGAAGGTCCACATGCCTTTGAAATAGTATCATTCTTATTCCTCAAAAACTTTCTACTTTGTTACAGTTTCCAAAATAATAGGCATTTGCAATATAGATGAACGGTCATTTGCTTCCTTTATTTCTGTTGACAATTAATATTATTATAGTAAATTAGTGTTTTGTGTTGAAATCAAAATTCTACTTTGTTTACATTTTGTTACCTTACCGACATATTACTGCACTTTCAGCGCTACTTTTTTCAGTTATTAAACATCTTACATGCTCTAAAACAACTATTAAAACATGATTTAACACATGTTTGACATTTCTAAAACATTTGGTTTATTTGTATTCCTGAGGCATACCTTTAAAGTATGTGTAATTATGTTATTATTGATCTTGAATGTTAACTTATTACAGTAGAACTTCTATGAGTCGAACTTCGATTAGTCGATTTTCTCGATGTGTCGAAGTAAAATGAAAGTCCCGATTTTTTCTCTTATATATTCCATATAAAAACCTATTTATGAGTCGAGATTTTATGTGTCGAATTTTTCGATGTGTCGAAGTTTTTTCGTGGTCCGTATAGAATAAATCTAGTACAATTTACCACAAATAAGTCGAAGTCCTTCGATTATTTTGACACCTTCGATCTCGAGACATTTTTCACACCTTTTCTTGCCGCGAAGACGATTTCCGATCAACTTAAGTGACACGTGTTAATTACACAGCCGAGTGTTCAAACAACCTTTGAATGCGTTTAAATGTGTGAAAAAATGCTTTAATCGTTACTAATTTAATTGCCGTAGCGGTATTTGAAAGTACATGTAAACAGTAAGAACAATCTTACTTCCGTGACCTGGTGTCGCGTGATAATTACACGCAAAATATTTACTATAAGCTGGTTAAGTTATTGCCCTTTCAAATTGATACGCCTTTTGTAACTTCATTGTATACGTCAACAGGTAGTTCAAATCATTAGCCGTGAAAAAGCAATTTACATGTCATATTTATCATTGCATAAAGTAAAATATCAGATTAATAAATGAAAGAAAACATGAAATAGGTTAGGTTATATACATGTATATGTATCTTATAATTAGGGCTAGTCACAGATTGAAATTTTGTCATGAAATTCAGAACGATTCATGAGTCGAAGTCCCGATGTGTCGAAGTTTTTACGCAAGTCCCTCCAACTTCGACTTACCGAAGTTCTACTGTATTTCTAATTCATTAGATATATAAAATTGTTGTAACATATTGTAACGCCATGTGAATGATTCATGATTAATCCTCATCATATGAGAGTTTAAGGTAACATATAGTATCTTATCCTTAAGAAATGGTAATATTTTTTCTATAAATTGTAACACGCCTGGTAAATGATAGAGCTACCTCTTTTGGAGGTATACGGTAAATCGCTCTATCGCTACTTCCGAGCTAGTGCATGTCGCTAAAATCAAATGTCAAGTGTTTTCATTTTTTTATATATTTTGTATATTCTACACCAAATATCAAAGTTCGGAGAATGCTATGCGATGTAAATTTTATTAAAATTTTCAGAAAACGTAAAGTTTTTATACTTATGTTAGAAATGTAGTTGTGGTGGCATTTCCCAGTTAGAGAATTCAGCGTTGAAATAGGTCGTTTCATCATGAAACAGATTATTTTTCCTTCAATTTTCATATAAATAGCAATTCAGATTAAAAACAAATATGTTTCAAGTAGATATAAGGTCTAAAAATGAAATAAGATTGAAATCAGATAAAAAAAACATTTGTTATTAAAGCAAATATAGGATATTTGTTCTTGGAGACATCTCTGTCTTGAAGGAGGTAGTTATGTCGTACAAAGTGTCTGATTGTTTGTTTATAATTTATTGATAACATTTATCACGGCACAAAAATAAATAAAAACAATATTATACTAATGTGATCACTGTACATGTATATCATGGCGTCATTTGCATAATAAAACAATAACATTTGCGGCGTTCAAATTGTAACCGACTCAATTTGTTTTTCACTGTAAACAACTTTGTGATAAGCATCATACTGTATTGCCCATATTCGTGTGTATAAAAAGAAGTATTGAACCTTTATGTTAATTTCTTTATTTCAGTCTCAACTTACGTACATAAAATTGCATATAAAACGTAAAACATAAACATAAAATACATTAAAAGCCATTCTAAAAGAATTACAAGAGACTATTTATTTTACCTCTAAGGGAGACAAGTCCACAGACCATATCAGAGCAGTTTACTCTTTTATGCACTGAGGAGTTACCCCCTTAGCTACACACATTTCACATAATCATTATCATTAATTAAAAGGTTGTTGTAATTTAAAAACATGACCTCAATATATTCTGACTATTGCATGTTTTTCCTACAGAAGGTTACATTGTGGTACAATGAATAAAATGATACCAAAATGCTTAAATGCAAATGGTAAGAAGAGAAATTGACCGTTATACGTTATACTCAACCTTGGAAAGTATGTCATTTATTACACTTGATACTTTACAATCACAAAACATTACTAACTTCAGTATATCAACGATTTGTTTTCTTTAATATAATTTACATGATGATCTGTTTTATCCATACAATATATTGGCTTAGTCAATGGATGTTTTATACAGAGGCAACATATATTTGTCCAATATGTAATAAATATGGCCATTAAAACTTATATAGTCAATCAATTACATTTATAAAACCATATCCTGCCAAATAAAATTTACTAAGACTGTTTTATTATAAATTTTTATACTGTCCAATTAAATTTATTTAGGACTATATAAACAACAAAACAATATATACTTTTTGAAGAATTGATATTGATGTGAGACCACAGTCTTAGTGAGGCTAAAATATTTATCTTTAAACCCACACTCCAGCAAACACATTTACCTATTATTCTTTTATATACAATGTACATATTTTAAATTAAGATAAAAACATATAAAAAGACACATCAGAAAAAGAAAAAAGAAAGCGATTTGTATGTTCTTATTTGTAAAGGAAAATTACCCTCCTCTTAAGTATCTCAAAGCAGGTTTTGGCAATATACCGTACACAACTCGTATTTGAGAATATAAAAGTGAACTTCTCCAAAGTTGTCATTGTGTGAAATTGTGGGTTTTTGACACTCACTTTTTCAGATAGATCTACACAAATATCTTCATACATAAAACATTCCATTACAGCATGAAATTCACTTTCTACCTTGTCATTACAAACAGGACATCGTCTTTCATTTACTGGTAGGCGTTCGTATATACCTGTCTCTATTCTTATTGGTGCAGTTCCTCATCTGAACTTAACAAAAGCGGACCTTTGGCAACGCAGAAGTATGATTTTTGCAATATTCCTTAGGTCCAAAAGTTGTCTTAAACTGCCTATATGTGCGCAGTTTGTTGCCACTGACCACGCTTCTACTTTTTTTCAGATGTAACATTAACATTCCACTTTGCAATAAAAATTTCCATTGTTCTAGATTGAACCTTTTCTAATATAGCTTTTTTTGATACCATATTATCAATACATGTTTTACAAAATTCTGTACATTCAAGATCATTATAAATTTGTTTTGTTCTGAAACACCAGTTTTTACATCTTGTACTACCAA